TTGGGGTATACTGTGCCTCATTCTAATGAGTCCCAAGTACCCTTTCCACCTTCATCACTGTACAGTTTACTAAAATGCAACTATTAGGAAAAGTTCATCTTTTCATTTTACAGTACATCAGGTTGTTGGCATATTACTGTCTTGGCTATTTCTAGTATACTAAACATTTAGATGTTTACCTACTTCTCAATCTTTATATTCTTAGCTAGATGCTTATAATCTGATTCACTAACTTTCAGCCATTTACTGTCCATGATTGATAATCTTATATTACTATTTTCCTCAAACCAACAATAGAAAAAGTTGGTTCCTTTACCACTCCCTATGTCTAAACATAAATGGTTTCACTTAAAAGTTACTCAGTTGAGTACACTTACTATCAAGTATAATTATTAATTTAATTACTTTAAGTTGTACTGATGCTACCATTACATCACAGTGCACCCAACACATAAAGCAACATGTAAAGCAAATGAGATGAGGTCTAATTGTGTGTGTGTGTGTATAGATAGATAGATATGTATATATATAGTTCGTTTGTTTGCTTTTTGAGATGGAGTCTTGCTCTGTCATCCAGGCTGGAATGCAGTGGCATGATCTCGGCTCACTGGAACCTCCACCTCCTGGGTTCAAGTGATTCTTCTGCCTCGGCCTCCCAAGTGGCTGGGATTACAGGCACATGCCACCATGCTCAGCTAATTTTTGTATTTTTAGTAGAGATGGGGTTTCACCATGTTGGCCAGGCTGGTCTCAAACTCCTGACCTCTGGTGACCTGCCTCCCTTGGCCTCCCAAAGTGCTGGGATGACAGGCATGAGCTACCACATCTGGGTATAGTTTTTACATTAATTAGCAGTTCTATGCAAATAGATTAATTCCCTGGTGAATTTGTTTCAGACCAATTGACATCTATAAACATAATTAAATTTAAACATAAATACTTTATCTTATTTTATATCTGCACTTTCTGTTTTTTTTGAGACAGGGTCTCACTCTGAGATGGAGTTTTGCTTTTGTTGCCCAGGCTGGAATGCAGTGGCATGATCTTGGCTCACCGCAACCTCTACCTCCCGAGTTCAAGCAATTCTTGTGCCTCAGCCTCCCGAGTAGCTGGGATTACAGGCGTGTGCCACTATGCCTAGCTGATTTTTGTGTTTTTAGTAGAGATGGGATTTCACCATGTTGGACAGGCTGGTTTTGAACTCCTGACCTTAAATGATCCACCTGCCTCAGCCTCTCAAAGTGCTGGGATTACAGGCATGAGCCAATGTGCCTGGCCTATATCTGCACTTTAGATTTTAGGTTGAAATGTCCTTATTTTCTTATCTAAAGGATTAAAGACAACAGGAAGTGTATTAGTCCATTTTTGCATTGCCATAAAGAAATACCTGAGACTGGGTAATTTATAAAGAAAAGAGGTTTAATTGACTCACAGTTTCACAGTTCCACAGGCTGTATAGGAAGTATGATGGCATCAGCTTCTGGGAAGGCCTCTAGGGAGGGAACTTACAATCATGTTGGAAAGCAAAGGGAGAATGAGCACTTCACATGACAGGAGTGGGAGGAAGGCAGGGAGATGTCACACACTTTTAAACAACCAGATCTCATGAGAACTCACTCACTATCGTAAGAACAGCACCAAGAAGGAAATCTGCCCCCATGATCCAATCACCTCCCACTAGGCCCCACCTCCAACATTGGTGATTACAATTCTACATGAGATTTGGGCAGGGACACAGATCCAAACCGTGTCAGGAACCCAGTGGTTTGGTGGTCAGGAAAGAACACCTGGTGATGGCAGCTCACTGCATTTGGCTCTGGCATCATTCTGGTTAGCTTCTTTTTTTTCTTTTTTTTTAAAGGTGAACTCTTGTTGCCCAGGCTGGAGTGCAATGGTACGATCTTGGCTCACTGCAACCTCTGCCTCCCAGGTTCAAGCGATTCTCGTGCTTCAGCCTCCCGAGTAGCTGGGATTACAGTTGCCCACCACCACGCCTGGCTAATTTTTTGTATTTTTAGTAGAGACAGGATTTCACCATGTTGGCCAGGCTGGTCTCGAACTCCTGACTGCAGATGATCCACCCGCTTCTGCCTCCCAAAGTGCTGGGATTGCAGGTGTGAGCCACTGCACCTGGCCGTAACTTGAGATCTTAAACTGGGACTTGATAAACTAGAGCTCCAGTTTGACTATTTGGAAAAGTTGTGTTAGTCCCCTTCTTGCATGGCTTGCATGCAGTTGCTGATGAGTTGTAACCCTGTCCTCTCTCTTCTTACAAACAGTCTTCATCGGGGAATTCTGATCCTTGGTCTTCTGTTAAGCTACTGGTGGTTCTTACTATCCTTTCTAGATGGAGGAGCTGGGTTATTATTCCTCTCTCCACCACCTGTCTTCAGCTGCTTTGTCACCTTTCTGTCTGCTTTTCAGCTTGCAGGATTTCCACTACCTGTCCTTTTCCTTGGTGTCAAGCCCAGGACAATAGGTGTTGCTTTCTGACAGATCCTTTGCTTTGTCTCGATATAGGATTTTTCATGGGCTGATCTGCTGAATTCAGCCTAGGAGCTGAGGCCAACATCTGAGTTTCCTCAGCACACAGGTTTGAAAGAAGTCCTAGCAACTTCAAGCTCAGAACCATGGGTGGCAGTGGCTGTCTCTCCCTTTCCAGAGAGAGTCAAGGTCTGGAACAAACAAAGCCCACAAGCACCAATGACCAAGCTGCTGACTACTCCAACATCTCCAACTCAACCTCCTCTTTCTGCCTCTACCCAAATTTTAAAACTTTTAAATATGGGTTTAAAAATGGTGATGAGTAAAGTTGCATCCAAGTGTATCAAATAAAATTAAATATCCATAAATGCTGTAATAATTCCTGCTTTGATGCTGAACTAAAGCATTTTCTGCTGGGTGTGGTGGCTCACACCTGTAATCCCAGCACTTTGGGAGGCCGAGGCGGGCAGATCGTGAGGTCAGGAGTTCAAGACCAGCCTGGCCCACATGGGAACACCACCCCCATCTCCTACTACAATACAAAAATTACCGGGTGTGGTGGGCAGGCATCTGTAGTTCCCAAGCTAACCTCGGCGCAAGGCTGAGGCAGGAGAATCACTCCTTTGACTCGGAGAATGCCGCAGGTCTCGCAGTGAGCCCGAAGAGCCACCACTGCACTCCAGTCCTGGGCAACAAGCAAGATTCCATCTTCCCAAAAAAAAAAAAAAGAAAAAAAAAAAGAAATTTTTATTTTCATTTATATTGTCCACATAGTCCTCACTTCATAGTGCAGCTCTCTTGCCTCTGTACCTGGAGTCCTTGCGCGCTAGTACTGAAACTTGAGTAAAGTCCATTCTCATGCGTTTTTAGTAAACACTCAAAACTCATGAAGTTGCCACAACTCAAAAGAATGCCTTTGGTCCTAGTTTGCCATTGGCCAGTAAATGTTTTCATATCCCGTCATTCCCTTTTTTCCTGCTGCATCCTCACTTCCCTCCTGTGGGGTAAAAGTTAAAATATTACCATGAACTCATTGAATGTGGACAAACCAACAATGTCCACACCAATCCCGGAACAGGTTCCGTTGAGTCCACTGAGGCCATTTATCCCGCCCCGTTTCAGAGCAATCTCTCTATTTCAAACTATTCCTATGTTTACTTATTGACAAAACACACACAGACAATCGCAAACCAAGTTCTGAACCTTTTTGTGTTCCCTGTGAGCCCAGTCCATCCAAGGGGCCCTCAATGATGGGCCTCATGCCAACACTCTGGTACAAACGAAGAGCCTTAGGGCCCCCAGCACTGCGGCTGAAGCTGTCATGAGACCCCCTCCTCAATCGTGCACCGGACTGGTGGCCGACCGCTGCGAGCTCCCAGTCTGTTGCTTCCTGCGTCTGGTGATGAATCCTCCCATACGCTCCTGTGAGTGGGGTAACATATATATACTTATCCCTAATATATATATATATAATTTGTCTGTCTCCCCCTTCCCATTGTAATTTCTGCTTATATCATCATTTGCTATTATAATGTGGTATTCGCCATATACTTGGGGTAACAGGCCGGTTAACCCCTTAAAATATTGTCT